TCGAGCTTCTTCATCCTACTTATTCACCAGATCTTGCCCCTTGTGACTTTTTTCCTATTTCCGAGGCTCATTCACCACCTTGCTGGAAGAAATATCAAACGCTTAAAATCTGTTCGGCTATTTTCCAGTGCCTGAACAGTATAACTCGAAAATATTATAAAAACGCATTTAAAAATTGAATTAAAAGACTAAAACTTCGTATATCACATGGTGGTGAGTATTTTACAGGATTGAGATTATTATTTCGGCACTGTTTGTTAAGCACTTCTAAAATTAACCCAGTCGCTTTTATATTTAAACACCCCTCGTAATTCTATTTCCAGTAGTTAATAATATATTTTTTCAGATCCTCATGCTGATAATATTTAAATTGATTTGCTTCTTTGAGTACGTTAAAGGAGGTGAGTTCATAATCACTTGGCAGAAAAATTTATCTTTTTGTCCGACCTAATCTTTTGATAAAAATTGTTTCATTATAGCGTTAGCTAGCCTATTTTCGCCGTATGTTTAAAAACTACAACAAAAAAGAACAACAAAAAAACAAAAAAAAAACAATACAACAACAACAAGATGAACAACAATAAAAAAACCCAATAGCGAATGTTCACTTTATTTTTGTGCTAAATGACCCAAGAACGAAACGCTTTTCAATCAAATCGGGCTAAAATCGCACACAAAAAAGATCGATCATTTAATTTTGAGCATATTTGTTTATTATCCTTTGTAGATGTGCTTCACATAATTTTTGTAAGAATTTCATATTTTATGTTTTTAATGTTTTATGACCTTAGTTCTTTAAATATTTGCAATAACTGCACACAGATGCGCACGAAACCTTTCACTCGAGGTTAGTTACTAAAGTTAAAGTCTTATAGTCTTAGTTTTAATTCAATTATTTCCGTTTCAAGTAAACACTTTTTGAATACTCATATGGCGTATAATTATTTGCGGGAAAATGCTCGTTTTCTCGTGCTGAGCATAAAAGTATAAAAGCACAACTCGGTGTGTTTTAAGACATTTGAGGCTTTACAACTGAAAGCGTAACTTATCTTTTAGTATGTCCGACACGGTAATTTCAATAAGGATGAAATTGTCACAGAATTAAAAGATTTTTTGACTACAAGTTTACAAACTTGAAAAAGAATTTCACGGAGATAATTAAATGGAAGAACGAGAGTGTTCGGAACAAGGTGCGTGCCGACAATTTAGTTTTATTTAGTAGTGCTGGGAACAAGAACTTCAACACTGAAGGATGCCGTTAGAGGACCAAAGAGTTAAAAGAAATGCCTCTAAGGCTATAGGTTATAGTTTAGAGGTTCAAGAGAAAATCAAACATAGAAACACGATTATAAGATTTGCACAAAGCTCTTCTCTTTGCTGGCCTGTTGTCTCTGAATACGAGAAAAATGATATAGCCAGTAACAGCGATGACGATAAAAAAATCTGCCATGCATTGGACCGGGTGTTTCCAAGTTTGAGAGGGCAAAGAAAGCTAGGGAGAGTTCTGGTTTCAATCCAAGATAATATTGTGAGTAGAAATACATGTATATGTTTAAATAATCTTGAGATTTACCCTGAATGCTAAATTTAGCTAAAATTAATTTTATGTAAAGATAATTACATAACTGTGTGATATCCGTGTCATTAAAAAGATACCGATAGTGGTTAACGGTATATTTACCTCCTCTATTATCAACTTTACTTGTATTGTAATATGGTCGGATTTTGCGAAAGATGGGTACGTCAACGATGATTTAAAGGAGTGTTTAGCTCTTTCCTTGTCTTTGGGACTGTGAATAATTTGATATTTTATCATTGAGATACTTTTAGTGTTTTTGATATCAGTATACATTATAATTAAATTGCAAATTTCAATTAAGTTGTCCAATTCTTTAAATTCATACTGGTCGTCCAAGTGCTCCATATATATAATTTTCCATGTGAAATTTTTATAATTTAGTGTTTGTTGCTATTATTAGGATATAATATGATTTAAGATGTAATATGATTTTCCTCGGTTGAACGACAAGGGAAAAATTCTATTCAAACGAATATGAATTTCCCGTGTAATGCACACTACACAGTGATCGGCCAATTGCTCTTTACATATAGTGCAAAATGAAATAGTATTTTAGTGTTTGTTGTTTACAATTAGGATACAATATGAGTTAACAGGAACAATTATGTTCTATATATACATACCGGTTAAATGTCACCGGAAACAGGTAATAACAAAGTCAGGACTTTATGCTATAGCTCAATTCTCAGGGGACCGGATCGATTTTCTTCAGTTGTTAAGGTGACAACAGACACTTTCCGTGGTACTCACATAAATGTCATTTAAACCAAGTTATTTTAGTAATAATTGTTATTTATTTAATCTTTGTGCATTAAATATCGTTGATCATCATAAAAAATAACATATTTGAAAAAAATGCTTTTGTAAATGATTGCTTTTGAATAAAAATCCTAAAATTTTAAATCGTCATATCAAAGTCATTTTTTATTTTTTTGTCATCAAACTTTTGGAAAATAACCATACTTATATTATCTGGGGAACCGTGTCTCAAATTTTTTCTATCTTTTCTCAAAAAAATATAAACGTAACGTCAAACATTTTATGCGACTTTTTTCACCATACATATTACGTAATTAAAGATAATTAAGTCGCTGATTGAGCAACACAAAAATCCCTGAGTTCCCTCCGTAAATGAATTTCCTTTCATGTTCTTTAAACCGCATGTTAATTGCTTGATTATTAAAAAAGTTATGCCGATTCAAAGCTAGTCCGACCCGCATCAAACGAAGTGTCATAAATCGGCTGTTCTCTCTCGGACCCCTACGTTTCACGCTAAATAATTGCATAATACACAAATATCGCACCAGAGAGGGTCACAAGTTGCGGTAACATACTCTATTAACATTTTATGACCAAGTGACATCTGACCAATTACAAAGCTGCTGATTAATATCAGTTTATAGCCGAAATGTCTTTCAATTCTTAACGTGATTTTACTGTCCGTCTGGTATCTGTCGCACATGTCACGTGACTATCGGTAAAATTTTGAGGGCACTCAGTGGGGGGAAATGGAACGCATTTGTGCACCGCTAGCGGGGTATTTAATCGTTTCCTTTTTGAAGTTTATTATTATTATCATCAGCATTATTATTGTATTATACCAGTGTCACTCTGCCTGTGTATTCGTGTATGAAATTCCCGTTAAAATATAAAATAAAATAACAAAAAACTGAGCTTCTGACAGTCTTTTAAAGTCCATGGTAGATGTACAAATAAGAACGGGATATTATATATGTTTTCCACCAAATTGATGCTTCACATATTTTAATAGAAATAAAAGGTATTTACTCGATCATTATGATCTGGCCTTCTTGACTTCTATTATCATGAATATCATCTATGCACGGTATAGAGATCCAGTTTCTACCGGGATAGACAATAAATTTCATACTTTGTCCCAGATTTATTAGTACTGTGTCCGATTTACTGGCGAACAATTTATTTTCACTGAGAATATATTTTAATATCTTTTTTTATTCATAGAGAAATAATCATCCTTAGACAATCTAAAATGGTTTAGAAATTTGTCAGGGACACCTTACCACAAGTCATATAGGCGTTCACATAAAAAATGTTGTCTGTTTTTTTGTTGTTGTTTACTTGACATTGTTAGAAAACGAGGTTGAATGTAAAGTAAGCCCTTGAATCCGTACAAAAAGTCTATCAACTCAATGTAATATCTATCAGATTAACGGAACAGACAAATTATTCTCACACATTATGGATATTTTAGCAACTACATTTTAATCAACCCCGTGTTCGTGCGATTTGCCGCTATGCTTAATTATTTATGTTTCAACATTATGTTACGTACATTGGCCGACAATTTATTAATTTATAAAAAAGGCTAAATGTTGAGATATTCATAAAGATGTACGGTAGTTGTACGATACATGTATTACGAGATAGTATGGACGCAGGTATGGACCTGTAATTCACGGGAATATATGGAACTATCGATTTTCCCCTCATTGATGCCTTCAATCAGGGGGCGGAGCGTTTATCGATAATCGAGCAGGTTAGCGCGAAATAGCAGATACAAAGTAGTTTAGGTACTGTTTTTAAAACGTTAAAAAAACACATGTTTTTGGACTAAGTGCTCCAAAATTAATCAGAGAATGTTGTCAGATAAATGGTTTGACTAAAATCTACTTAGCAAAAATCTTCATTTAGGTATTACAGTGGATTAATTGAACTCCGTTGTCAACATTAAATCATCTAACCTGCTCTAAAGTACGCTATTAATTAATTAAGACTCTTTCCCAAAAACAGCAACAAAATTGAATTTTTTGATCATTGACATGCATATTACATAAGCTACCATCCCCCTACCACAGATACAACGAGAATTGGCTGGTATATCGAAATCCTCTAAGAGCTGCTGAATATCAAATTAGTGTTTATATTGTAAATTAAGCTAAACTTGACTCATCACGCCCTCTATATATAGATCCTGTAACTTAATTTCTTATTGTTTTATATCATAAAATATGATGCTCAAATTAAGATTTATTAATTTTGTAAGTTCCAAAAAGCATTTTTGCCAAATTTAACATTTCATAAATAAGTGAGGTTATAAAATTTTATTTTCTATAAAGTCTAAGTCAAATTTTTTCAATAAGAAATGAAATCCATATATTTTAAATGATTACATATATGTACAAATAATTGCAGGCCATATTTTTACATATTCTTCGATGTTTGAAAATTGTTTTATACGCATAATTATATACATATATATAATTTCACTTAAGTGTGGTATACAACCTCAAATACAACATACAGGATCTTAAAACAGCTCATCTGGACAGACAGAAGCTATCCTTCGGGCGTAAAAACCCAGACAATCATGCTTAACATGTTATTTTTACCAAATTGTTCATTTATTTATATTAGCTAGGTTAAGCAAACAAACAATATGTCCTTTTGCAACTTTATTGTCAATGTTAAGCATTTATCTTTTAATAACGGTATCATTAAAACTCAATACTTCGTTTCTCTCTATTTTACTTTATATTTTTGAAGGCTTAGTGTAGTTCATTGTATTTAAATTCGGCGAACCATCATCGATGAGGATTTAAATGCGATCCAATCTGTGAAGCCCCTATGAACAATTCCCAATTGCCATCCGCTTCCAAGAATTGTGGCAGTACCCGGAGTTGCATACTGACCATTGAGATTAACCCAGTAACACCATCTATGCCACCATCCTGATTGGGTTACTACAGCGCAATTGTCTCCGAAATTTTGGTCGTTGTCGGAATCAACGGTTGTGAATGGCATACCATTGTTGTAACCTAAATTGGCCCATGTAGCTGCAATAGAGTTTTGTGAAAATAGGTTTATGATTATCTAAAAAAATTGTCTCAATGTTAATTATTTATACTCGTTACAACATTAGTAACATCTATAAACTACATTGATAATTTCTTTTAGTATATAAGTATATCTAATTGATGGAACCAAAAACGTTTAATCTCATGAAAGTTTGTACAGATTTTATTTTTTATAAACCAAAGCCATACAAACAAGTGGAGTTCCGCTTGCGGCACCAATGTTCAGGACATACAATGAAGTTGTCAGAGAGAAATCCATGTACTCGCGGTAGAAAAAGTTATCGTCTACATCTATCAGAATGAATCCTTAGCTTTGGTCTGACCTTGAGCCGCTATCTCTTGTACATGTTTTAAACCTGAAATGAGAATCATTTTAAAATATCGCTGTACAGTCCGCTTTCATACATTTGAAAAAAAAAAAACCACAACAAATCAACAACGATTTCACAATAATGAAACAAACCATTTCAATTGTACTATAAATTTGCATTATTGCCGATCGTTGGTAATTGATTTATTTTCTATAAAATAATAACACAATTATCTGGGTGTACCAAAATTTATTTCATTAAAAAAATTAACATATTTTTGTGATTTAAACTTCTGGAAAAGTATTGGACAGGTTTTGTTTTAGTGCATTTTGCAAGTTTGTTTAGGCTTAAAGAACATATAAAACTCTTATCATTAAACAGAGTTTCCAGAGAAGCTATAATAACTTGTATTATATAGAAATTATCTTTAAAAGAACTGATTAGTATAATATATAGCCGTAACACTTGTTGAATTGAAAACAAGTTAAACTTAATATTTTGGTTCACTTTTTAAATAACTTCACTCCGGGCCATAAACTCATAACTTAGATCCAAAAACCATTTTCATACCGAAAGGAACCTTATTGAAACATAGACTGGTCATCCAAATACGATTTTTGCAAAAAACCTAAGACAAAAGGTTTGAGATAATAAGCAGTTAATCCAACAATAGAAGAAACGTATTGTCTTTATTTTACATTATACACAACAGTAGAGTAAATGAACCTTCGAAGATTGGAACTATGAGAATACTTTAATAAATCTATTATAAATGTTCCACTTATGAAACACACCCTTGAATAAATACGTTAAGCGTCATCCGTGAACTTTGGATTAAAACATTACTATCGTCCATCCACCCGATCAGTTTGTGCATGTCACAAGTACACTCTATTATGTGTTTCGTTGACGCAAAAGTTATTGGATAATTCACTGTGTAGTAGATTCGTTCAATTAAGCAGGTCAAGACTATCGGTTTGCATCAAATGTAAATCTATTGAAGATATGTAATTCATCAGAGTTTTGCATAATACAAAAGTAAGTAAATATAGGGTTTAAACTTCGGTATAGCTATGTTTAGCTAATATTATATCATACTGCAATAAGAACAAACACCAAAAATCTCTTAAATAAACTTACGATACGTTATTAGGAAATGTGTTATATCTGTGTTTGTTCGCAATTTTAAAACCGTATAGGAAGACAAGTCTGTATGACCCGACCGCTCAATTACGTCGCAGTTATAATCCTTCCCAAATGCAGACAAGAACACGTTGTAATGTGGCCCAGCAGGTTGTTGCAGGTGGCCATCATTCGTGACACGCGATCGATTCGCACTATTCGTCCTATATCTAACATTGAAAATTTTACTTGATAGTATAAGGTAATTAATGGATCGATAATAATGGTATATAAATACAAAAAGTATCAAACTATAAGAATATAATCCTTTTTATGATTTAACAATTTTAAGAGTTAAGATCTGCAATCGTATTCCATACATAGCTAATATATTTCAAGAAAAGTTAGAATTACAAACTTGCATCCTTCCTAAATCCAAATCCGTCATTGAAGTAAGCAAAAAATCTAAGACACTGAATCATAAAATAGACATGACTTGTTTACTAAGTGTTTGGCAGCGAACTGTATCCCAAAGCTGTACAAGCATTAAACTATTCTAGTAAAAAACTTCATTCATCAAGTGCAACCCAAATCAATACAACCACTATACACCCCCTACTAAATCACACACACAAACCCCCCACACACCGGAATAGTTCATCACAGGTAAAAGGCCACGATCTTACAATATAAAGAAACTTCTCATTGTTGCAACACAGCACAAAAACGCATTACAGGCTGCACCCGCTCTGGTGAGATAGTATCTCGCCGCAACAAGATGCTTTCAACACTGATCAAGACTACGCGAAACAACTGAAAATTCCTACTCGCAACCCCTACACTCGCCAACACTCAAAGCTCCTTTACATCGAAAGCAGAAAGCATGATGCTTTAACTTATTTCTTTAATTTCTTTTTTTCGATAAAAATTATTACCAAATTCTCACTAACACAGCAACTATATTCACCTGAGAACCAAAATCCATCACACAAACACAGAACACCCCCCCGAATATGATATAGTTCACTCTCTCACTGAGAGCCTCAAATGCACAACGACATACAAACATTTCTTTTATTCACTATTTACATAAATTTGCCTTGACAATATAGAGAAAATATGTAAAACTTTAAGCAGCATGCCTCCAGATTCAGGTTTATTTTCATGAAAATTTGAAAATGTTTTTAAAAGTAATACATTGTGAAATGAACAAAGAAAGTAATTTAATACATGTACATGTGTAATTGCAAACTGCGTTTACAATCCACGTAAATTACAAAAAGATGGTCAACATATGCAAAAATAGCCCCTACTGCGTTATTCAAGCAGTAGAAATATGGTGATTAATACTGAACAATCAGTTATGCATCGCACATAACATGTAAAAATAGTTGAATCTTAAATCTTTTTCTTTTTAACAATCTAAGTACATTATCCTAGATTTTCTTTAATTTATGTTTGCTCATCTGTAGGCATGATGCTTTAAAATAAATTTAATGTTATAAAATGAATAAATTGAATAATTTTTGAAATACCTTTAATTAAATTAGTGGTTTTACGTATGATAATGTAAATATTAGAACTTGAATTAATGATTGAACATGAAACAATTTATTATTCCCTCAGTAAGCAAATGGAAAACAACATAAATTTAAATTTGTTCTGAATTTCTGAAATAAAAAAAAAATAGTATTCTTTATATCAGCAAGGAAATCGAGAGCAGCATAAATACGAATTGTTAAAGAAATTTGTTCTGAATTTCTGAAATAATTTAGTATTCTTTATATCAGCAAGGAATCGAGAGCAACATAAATACGAATTGTAATAAATTTGTTCTGAATTTCATTTCTTTGAAGTTATCCGTCTGTTTGAACACCTTTGATTTCCCTGAAATAATTTTACATAATTGAAATCAAAGATGTATACTTTGTCAAATAATGACAAATACTAAGATCGCCTTGAAAATAAAATAAAATAACTTACTGCGATATATACTCTAGATGAAAACATCGTCAAAGTCCAAATCAGAAATTATTGAACGTTTCTGCTGATAGATTGAAGGTATAGTTGTTGCGGATTTTGTTTGCACAATATATACTGGTTTGAATATAAAAACAACATCATCTGCCTCAAAATTATAATTGTAATTTAACATGCCCATTTGAATAAATTGATAATAACCAGTTGTTACCATTCACCGAAACGTCGTACTACCATGAATAAATTTGAGTAACATAAGTTGTTTACAAGTTTTCCCTAGCTGTTGAGAAGATTTTAATGAAATCCTAAAATGGTTACAATGTGAAAACTGAAATGGTAAAACAACGAAACCTTGAAAACATTTTAAGCTTTGAACAGCTTGGAAAAGCTTGTAAACAACTTATGTTGTAAACAAATAGTTTGTCTTATCACATAAACCGCGACGCAGGACTGTAATAAAGCCATTTAATAAAAATGATATTAGTCTGTCCCGCCAAATGAATATTTCAGTTTTCATAAAATATAATGGTAAATTAATTTAAATTAATGTCACGTTAACCCCGACGTCAATATTTCTAGGCATGTTTTTCGTTCCTTTTTGTCAAAAATGTAAAAATTATAGATTTCCCGTTAACATACGTTGTAACCTGATGTGACGTCCAATTCAAAATGGCAGCGGCTGCTTACATTTCACAAAGCCAGGTCTAATATGAATTCGCAGTAAGTAACATAAATAAGCATGGATGGTTGGACTTTTTCTTTTTCTAGAATTGTTTATTTTTATTTTTAAAACAAAGCAATCATTCATTTTTTAATAAAATGAATAATGTCACCGCCATTTAACGTTGATCGTCGAACTTATTTTTCTGCCCAAGACTTTTTGTATTTAATGAGAATTCGACTAAATGAGGCTACTAATAAGGAAAACAGATCAACGTTAGAGAATTTCGTTTTAACTTTTTTAAGCATAAAATAAAAAGAAACTTTGTTTGTTTGTTGTGTAATATGTAATTTTATTTCTCGCGAACTTTAAAAACAGTATTCTTACTCGTGGCTACGTCACTTGTGAGAATACTGTTTTTAAAGCCCACTCAATGAAATAAAATTTCATCTCACAAACAAACAAATATCCTCTATTTATTTACTTACTGATCAATATTTAAATGATACGAAAAAGACAAATATTAAATTTTATCATAAAAAAATGAGAACAAAGTTGGTGTAGAAAGGCAATTTTACTAGTAGACCATAGTTTAAAATAATCGCCAATTAAAATAATTTTTAGTGAAATACCAGTAACCTCTTTATAAATTCTGACATACAACAGATTTATATAATTATCATGCTATTCTGTCGTATCTTCAAAGAAGTGATATAATTAGGAAGCTTTCCAGTCAAGAGCGTATCTTTCAAGAAAACCGCAACTGAACGGGGACTGAAAAATATTCTTGTACGACCTTCCAAGTAAACTTAACTAAATAACTCTATCATAATTATATCATACAATTATGAATCGTAAATTATTTCTTATTTGCTAATGTTTAATTCACATAATTCTGTAGTCTTTAGTCCATTAATATATATCAAGTGTATTAAGAAAATAATTAAAATGACCAGATCCGATGGGATACAATATGTTACCCTTCTTATTTCGAAGCGCGATGTTCGTGCGCTAGAAATCGCACACAGATTCTACATTATCATGCAAATCTGGCAAGAAATATATAGAAAGGGGAACTGATTCATTATATTTTCAGCATGTACAGTTTCTACTTAAACTAGCTCCCTCGTTAATGCGAAAACATAGACTCGTGCGCGGGGAAAATGTAAATTATAATAATTTCTATTGTGTAACCCTTGTATTTTAATGTTTATACAT